GCAAGTTTTCTTTTCCAAGTAGGAATTGACTGGCTGATTCTAAAATTACATGGAAATTCAAAGGGTCTGAATAGCCAAGACAGTTTGTGAAAAAGAATACAATTGGAGAACTTAGACTACCTTATGTCAAGATATACTATAAAGTTACAGTGATCATTACAATTTGCAATTGGTGTATCGATTGAACATAAAAGGGAATCTAGATATAAACGCCTCCTCCCCTACCTTTTTGGCAAACATAATTCAATGTGGAAAAGGAAAGTATTATTAACAAATGATGCTGGAATAGCTGGATATCAATATGGGAAAAATGGACCTTGACCCTTATACCATGTACAAAAATTAACTCAGAATGGATCATTGACCTAACACAATTCCAACAACTATAAAATTCCTAGAAAAAAAATCTTTGATCTCAGGGTCAAGATTTCTTAGACACCAAAACTTTTTTTAAAGAAAATTGATAAATTGGGCATCACCAAAATTAAAAATTGTAGTCTTGAGAGATACCATTAAGAGAATGCAAAGGTAAGCCGCAAATATTTATAATATATGTATCTGTCAAAGGACTCGCATCGAGAATATATAAAGAACTCATACAACTCAATAATAAGACAAACAAACCAAGAGGGAAAAGGCAAGAGATATATTTGAACCAACACATCAAAAAATAATGAACAATACAAAGATGCAAGGAAAATAAGACCAGCAACACTGAAAGGAAAAGAAATCAAGAGAGACAAGAGGGAAGGGGGGGGCAGGGAAAGGGAAGGGAAGGGGAAAGTCAAGGAACATATAGCAAGGACTCATGGACAAAACCAAAGGGGAAGAGCTGAGGGAGGGAAGGAGGGAGGGGGCAAGGGAAAGTGGTGGGGGGGGGGAGGCAGAGACAAATGTATTTGAAAAAATAAAATTAAATTAAAAAAACAAAAAAACAAAAAAATAATGAACAAAAGCACATTAACAGATATTCAATATTATTTTTGTCAGGGAAGTGTAAATTAAAACCACAATGCACTACCACTACATATCCACTTGAATGGCTAAAATTAAAGACTGACGATATAAATGATGGTTAGATGTGGAGTAATGGGCAAATCTCATACACCTCTCATGGGAATATAAAGTAGTACAGGCACTTTGCACTGATATTTTCTTAAACATAGACTTAACTATACAGCAACTCCAATCCAAAGTATTAATGCAAAAAACTCAAAACATAGCCTTGTAAAATTAATGGTCATAGCAACTTTATACAGCATAAACTGTAAACATTCTGAAAATGTTCATCAACAAGTGAATGGATAAACAAATTGTGGAATATTTCTAAAATGGAACACAATTCAACAGTAAGAAATTTCTACTACACGTGAAACATCATGGTTGTTCTATTAAATGAATTATAACACCTTTAGTGACATGAAAATACATCTTTGGTTGCTTGAGACTGGGGTTATTGACTGAAAGGTGCACAAGGGAACTTTTTTGGGTGCTATATTTAATTGTGGTAGTTACATGAAAGTATGCGTTCATCAGAACTAATTGAACTGGACATTTAAAAAGGATGGCTTTTATTGCATGTAGATTATTTCTCAAAGTTTATTTTTGAATGTAAAAAAACAACAAAAACCAAAATTCCACTGTATAATCATGAAATAAAAATCATTTGAAAAGTAAATCATCTGATCTTCTTTACTAGATAATAATTTTAGTAAGTGCTTCTTTTGCTGCGAGCTAATGAAGATGTCGTTAAAATAATGTGTTGTCTTAAGATGTTCCATAGAAAGAGATACTATGACTGTGATTTTGATAATACTTTGGCAACAAGATTCATATAACAACAACATCTCTTATGAGAAATACTTTATTTCAATAACAGAAACTACAGTTGAATTACTACCCTATGGTTCTTTAGCTGAATAAGTGAAACCATGTCAGACATGTGAATTTCTATTATTTTCTATGTTGAACTTAAAATGCGGGGATTATTGTTTTTTAAATAAATAATTTCCTTTGTAAGACCTCATCAAACATAAAATTATTTCTCTGCTTCTATCAGTTTCATGCTTAAATACAGTTTCATAATTAAATTATTTTCTGTACTCTCATATGCACCAAACAAAATTATATACAATAGAACAGTTTAATTAGTATAAAATTATTTTGATTGTTCAGGAATTTTATATTAGCCCATATATTCTCAGGCTTAAATAGTAGAAAATGCATAGAACCGTAACCATAATTATATAGAATACAGCCTAGCATGCATGAGTTTGCAAGTAATTTTCTCTTTTTTTCAGCATGATTCCCTGTTTCATGACTCCGTTTTTGTGACATGTATATATGCATTCTAGGTCTTACTCAGTTAAGTGAGTCTGCCAACCATTCAACTTTCCAGGATGTTGTGAGAGTTTATAGGTACAATGATATTAAATATTTATCACTGGGATTTTCGGTGAGGCCTGGGACATTCGGTCACCATTTCACAGGGTTACATAGACAGGGGTACTCAACAAAATGTTTGCACTTTTAAATGATACTTGCTTTTCTATTTTTATTTCTTTTTCAATGAGATCTAACCATCCCCCCCGCCCCCCCCCGCGCCCCATAGTCCTCATAAGAATCCATTTTGCCCTGGCTGGTGCAGCTCAGTTGGAGGATTGTCCTGTAAGGAAAGGTGGTGGGTCCAAGCGCTCGTGATCCAAGGTCTGGACACCCGCGGAAGGCAACCAACCCAAGCTTCTCTCTCACATCGGTGTTTCTCTCTCTCTCTCTCTCTCTCTCTCTCTCTCTCTCAAAGCAATGAATAAAGTGTCCTTGAGTAAGGATTAAAAAAAAATCCATTTGTAGTCAGACTTAAAACCACCATCTATTAAAATAGTCTAGTGATTTTTGTGACACTATGATTGATAAAGAATTGAATCTGAAACGAGAGTAGAGCATGTAGCCAGTCACGCTGTGCTCAGATTATTGTTCCTGAGAAATACTGGTTCTGTTCTCAGAAGATCTGAGGCTCCCTTTCTCTGCCCCCAAAGTCCGGGCTTCATGTTCCTCCTGGCGCTCCCGGAGGACGCGGTGCCTCCTCGCCACCGCCTGGAATGGTGACTGTCTGCCCCTTTGCCCAGTCCTCCAGTCCCCTCTGAGCTTTTGTTGGCAGGGAAATACACTTCAGCTCGGTTGTCTCCATGTGCCAAACATACAGAAGGGCAGCAATGAATGAACGAAGTGAAATTAAGCAAGCAGCACAGTCATTGCTGCAATCGTTGCCTGTGTCCGAGGCCCGGTCGGTCCATGGTAGCCGCGCTGCTGCTCTAGGTCTTGACTTTACAGCTGGTGAAAATGAAGAAATACACTCCCAGGCAAGAGCCAAGTTCCAGGGGGTTTTCTACACCATTGTGAGCTCTGCATGATCATGGAACTTTGTGTTTTACCTTTTCTAAACAGTTTTGCTCTTGCTTGGTGGTTGGAAACAGAACCTTGCTGGGCTTGTTTCCCTATGGTAATAGCATGCTCTGCCCCGCCCACCCTGCCAAGCCCTCCTGCGGATTATTTTAGTTAACTTTCACAACAACCTGATGAAGTAGGTGATACGCAGTTACTGGAGAAATTGAAGCTTAAGGAGGTTGAGTAACTCGCCCATGTTCACACACAGCAAGTGAAGGGCTGGGGCTGAAACCAGTCCAGCAGGTCGCAGAGCCTCCACCGTTTCCCAACGCTGCCCTATTTTCTTTTTTTCAAGGAATTTATCACTGTGGGAAAATTTTGCTTCTGTATTGGAATGCCTAGTCCTTGATTACAGACACGTTGAACGGCCAAGTATAGAACAGCACCTGGCACGGAATAGGTGTTCAATATGTACTGAATTAATAATTAGGTGCTGACTTCCAGGGTGCGAAATGAAGAGCTAGGATAAGTGCTCATCTTTTATTTCCTTCCAAGTTCTTCCAATTCTTGCATTTTATGAGTATTCACTTTAGGAAATGACTTGTTAAAATAGAAAGCTCCCCAACGTACTTTAAAAGTTGCCTTCAAAAGACTCTTAACTTTGAAGACATCACTGCCTTAAAATACCTTCCACACATGTGAGAATTTTGACCAGCCCAAACCTCCATGCAGAGGTTAAGGTCCACGCTGTCTCAGATGCTTTCTGGGGTTGCGGGGCCGGGGGAGTTATTCTCCTATGTTGCTCATATCCACTCTGTCATCCCTTAAGGATAGGTACCTAAAAGAAAACAAAACCCCACATCTCTCTCTGCTTGCTTTAGGGAGGGGTGGGGTCCAACCTGGCTTTGCTATGAGCATCTCCACATTCTAGGAAGACCTGGCGTCTTTCTCACCTCCCATTTCTCTCATTGTCTAGTAATCGCAGACGAGGGCCATGCTGAGACGAGTGGGTATTCCCCACAGACTCACACAGGATCTGCTGCCCACTGAGCTGCCTGGGACGGTGGCCTCCTCGCTGCAGAGTTCAGTGAAAAAAATCTAGCCACTGCAGAAGTGGTGTCTTTCTGCCAGTGACGCTGGCTTCGAACCCCATCCTGAGACCCGCGTTCTGAAGCGTCTTATCTCCCTGAGCAGCTCCATAGCTCTTGTGTGTCCCTCTGTCACAGCCAGTACTGTGCCCTGGGCTTTTGAATCTTCAATGCCCTTTGGAATCATCAATACTAACAATCTGTGATTTCAGGATGGCTTTTTGCATAAAGTTCCACTAAATGATTCATTTACTTGGGAAGTTCCTAGGTCTAATTAGTGTGAACATTTTAAGGGTACAGTCTTAATGGAAATTAGTGCGCAAGCAGAACAATTTTCCCTCTCATGTCCTTCGTTTGAGTCCTTGCAAGCCTCCCTTCTGGAATAGGCTGTCTCACACCAGCGTTTGGGACCTTGTTCTTTTGTGTTGGAGCAGAGTTCATATCCTATTTATTTCACTTCCTATAGTCCATTTAAGAGATAATATTTTTGCAACGCTCATCGTCTTTTGTTGTTATCTTTACATTCAGACTATATTCAGTGCCCATATTGTATGAGGAGGTTTAATGAAAATGCAGCCAGTCGGCATATTAATTTCTGCAAGGATCAGTCTTCCCGCCGAGTCTTTGATCCAGCCCAGACAGCAGCCAAACTGGCATCCAGAGCACAGGTAAACATCCCTCCCTGGGTGCTGGCCCTTGTGCCCTTGCTTGCCTGGGACAGGCGGGTCAAGTTTGATAAGGACCCTAGGTTACACATCCTGAGAAATATAAGGATCCCCGCCGCCGATCGCTGTGCCTCATCCTCATGGGAGGGGCCTCCTTTTGAGTTGCCAGCTTACCATGCCTTTGGGTGTTGTAGAACAATTATTTCTATAGTGTTTGTAGCTCCTCAGGATGAAGACTTGAGTATATAAGTAGTATTTCTGTAGTGTTACAGTAAAACTGCCTATCCGACGGTGGTCATCCGCCTTGACCACGCAGGAAAGAACTGCGAACCTGAAGTGAAGCAGGACTGGGCGGGAGAGGCTGTCCAAGGAGGCCCCCCCTCCGGCCGGGTGCTCTGCTCCGGGGAGGAAGGTGTTCAGCCTTTTCTAAAAGCCACAGACTCAGCAAGTTAAAGGGGAGAAAGGGAAGCAACAGTTACAGATACAAATAAGTAAAATGACCACTTGCCCAGGAAGACAATAGATTTAGAAAAACAGAAGGAACCAGAGCCAGCAAACAGCTCTGTACAGATGACAGCGCCCAGGGACATAACTTACTGCACAGCATGAAAACTGTTCGTTTAGAGACATGGCTCAGACACCAAGAACAGATTAAATTGGCATGAACACTTAAAAGTATGAAATAATGTTTAGAAGCATTTCCATGAAATCCAGTACTTAATGGGGGTGGGACCCTCTCCAACAACTGCTTATCCCACGCCTATGGCCTCGAGCTCCGTCGCTGGTATATCCGTCAGGCGTTGAATGTCCTCTCTGTGTCCAGCACTGTGCTAGGTGCTGACTGATCAAGGGTTTGTCATTCCGAGGAAGAGGAGGACTTGGACACGATGCAGTAGTAACGTGTGGTGGCTTCCATATATAGGAGCACAAGGCCAGGAAGAAGCCACTAGGATTCATGGATGGCTTCAAAGAGGAGCAACATTTCCCCCTCAAATATCAAATGGGTTCAGCAGTGTAGAGTTGGGGCTAAGGAGGCCATTTTTCACAAATGCCCAGCTTGTGGCCCGAAGAGCCCAGCTCAGGAGGTTAAAGCACAATTGTCTATGGGAGGGTGACGGGATGGGACAGACTGGGCCGGGGTCAGATCTAGAAAGGCATCAAGTCAAGCTGGTTCGGAAAGGAGAAGCGGAATTAAGTGGATGGATGCCCTGCAATCTGAGGCCAGCCAGCCCAGGGACCTGGAAGCAGGAACTGTAAGGTCCCCAGGGTTCTGGGGAAGGCCTCTTCCATCTCCCTGTCTCGCCTGTGCCTACTATGCTTCGGCTCCCTCTTCTCTCTGACCTTCTTGGCTTTTCTGTCTAATTGTCTTTTACTAGCCTTGTGTGTCGTTCCACAGGCAGTGTTGACTGGTTGACAGTATAGGCTGGAGGGACATGGAATTATTTTTTTTAGAAAGATCGCCCTTGCAATTAGTGTTCTAGGTGGATTGGCAGGAGACCAGTTAAAAGCCACACAACAGGGAAAGAACCATAGACTGGAATAAGAAGACTAATGGGGGTAGGTGTGTGGAGAGAGTTTAAGGAATAATGGATGGGACTGAGAAGGTGATTGGATTTTGGGTAAAAGAGGATAAGGGTTGACAAGAAGGCTTTTAGCTCCAGAGCCTCTGCAGATAATAATACTGTACATCTAGATAAGGGAGCACGGGAAGGAGGAGGCAGGTGTGTTGGTGGAGCAGGCGGGGTGGTTATGATAAATATAGTTGTAGAGATTCAATCTTTACCCCTGAAATAGTATGGGAGGCAGTGCAGTGTAGAAAGAGCCCGGATTCTGCAATCAGTAGTCAGGGTTCGACTGCCAGTTCTATAAATCACCATCTGCAGGTAAACTTGGAGAAGTTACTTAAATTCTTTGAGACTCACTTTCATCCTTACCTTGCCAAGTTATTGGGAGGACTATAGATAATATAAGTGAAGCACCTTCACGTAGGGGTTCCCCCAGCTGTCCTCTGTCCCCCTCACCCCACCCTCCTTCCCCTCTCTGGGAGTCCTTTCCTGTGGGTGGGAAAGACACCCCGATTTTGAGGGAACATGACTGCTTTGGGCTTGAATTCAACTTCGCTTTGGAAAGGTTTTCTCAGTATAACCCTGCCTCCACTTTCTAAAGCAGTACAGGGCGCGGTACATTTCTTCGAACGGTTCTTCTGGCCAGTTCACGAAGTGAGTCGGGGTTTAGTGGGGCCAAAGGGAGCACTGGGAAGCAGCTACGGAAGTGCTTTTTATTCCTGAAGGAGGCCAGCTGGCCGTCCTGACTGTAACCAGTGACTTGGCCCCGTTCCTTGCCTTGTTTTGCAGAGCTAAGTGGTGATTGGGAACACAGAAGAAAAATTGCTTGCTCTCTGAGTAAACTCACTGTCGAGTGTGTCTGAACAGCCGTGCTTGTTTTCCCGATGCCAGCCTCGCCACGCTGGGGCCCGGCCTCATAGTGAGGCTTATTCAGAAGTGGGGCAGAGAGGGAGGGCTGGTTTCAGTTTGGAAGGGCTGTTAACAGCACCGCTGAAATGTGTTTCTATTTTAAATAAAATCAACTTTAAAAAAGTGTTCTACCCTCTGAAAATAGCTCTGTTTGTTTGGCTGGGGATGAACTGCCTGCCATCATCTCACAGCAAGCCTTGCCCAAGTGAGAATTCTCACTTGGAGTAACAGGTTATCTTTATGTAGTTTCCATGGAGATGTCGGTGGGCCCGGTAGCGGGGTAAAGAGGAGCGAGCAAGGAACGTTTGGCTCCTCATGCTGCATTAATGTAACTATTCTGCTCCTGCCACTCAGGAGGGAGGGGTGCAGTGTGGGGATGTTGGAATTCCATGTTTAAAACATTTGCTGCCTGCCAATGTCTGTTTTTCTTCTCTGTTCATGTATTTAAAAACAAAGGCATGTTCAAGTGTAATAAAAAACTAGAATGTTCCATAACTATCCTTTTTGACATGAAGCGATTTCTTATGTCTCTATACAGCTAATTTTACAGGATCAGCATATCACAATTCCCCTAAAGGCTCGATTATGGGGTAAAAGCTCCTAAGCCCTGAGGTGGCTTCGAGCCCCAGCAGGGAGGTTAGGGCCCCGGCTACCTGAGGGGCAGGGGGTGTGCGCCCCCTTCCCCCCAAGTGCAGCAGGTCCCCCAGATAGGATTCCCATCACTGCTGGTTAAGTGGGAAGCTTTGCCTGTGTGTGTGCTCCCTGAGGTTAGAGACCTGTTCCCTCCCTCCCTCCCTCCTTCTCTCTCTCTCCCTAGGGCAGGGCCCAGATGAGTACCAAAAAAGAACCTACTGTTACCAGTGCTGTGGGAGCTCTGCTACAGAACAGGGCCCTCGAGGCTACAAGAGTGGCCCCAACCAGGCCAGGTAAGTCAGCGTAAGCATCTCAACTCTCAATGGACTGGGTCAGAGGTGACCACTGTTGGCTTTGGGATTTGTGGGCAGTCTGCAAAAGCTGTGATATCTGATGTTCCGATGATCCGATACAAAGCTACAAGGGTGTGTTTGAGGTTTAAGCTTATTTGCCAAGGGGGAACATTTCCTGATGTATCAGGTTTAGATACCTCTGACAAAATACAAAGTCAGACCCAGTTACAGCAGCAGGGTCTAGAACCATCACTCTCTGACTAGTAAAATTGAAAAAAAAAATAAAGAATGGGAGGTAACAGCTGATCAGCTGTGTTGAGAATAAGGGAAGACAGTAAAATCACTCTCTCAGAGAGCCAATCTGTACTCCCACATTGATTACAGTGTTTTTCAAATAGCCAAGATACAGAACAACTTAAATATCCTTTGACCAATGAATGGATAAAGATTATATATAACATACCCAATGAAATGCTATTCAATCATTAAAAAAAGAAGAGAGTCCTGCCATCTCTAACAACATGATTGGACATTGAGGCCATTATGCTAAGTTAAATTCATAAAAACAGAATAGAATGATGGTTGCCAGCAGTGGGGATGGGGTGGGAGAAATGGGGAGATGTTGGTCAGAGGATACAGTCTTCCCATTATATGATGAATAAGTTCTGGGGATCTAATGCACAGCATGGTTACTATAGTTAGCAATACTGTGTCACATACTTGAAAGTTGCCAAGAGAGCAAATCTTAAATGCTGTCACAACCACAGGCACAAAAGTTAACTATGTGAGCTGATGGGTATTAACTAACGTCACTGTGGTAATCATTTCACAATATATTCGTGTATCAAATCATCACACTGTACATCTTAAATTTACACAATGTTCTATTCCATTATATCTTAAAGCTGGAAAAAAGAAAAAGGGAAGAGTTTTCTTTCTAGAACTGAATAACAAAGACATAACCACCATTACGGTACTCAGCTATATGCCAGACCCCTTTCATTTAATCCTCACAGCAGTCCTCCAAACGTTTTCATCTGTTCAAAGGGAAACTGAGGCTCAGAAGATTGGTTATTTGTTCTAAGCACACAAGTGTAAACAACAGAGCTGGATTAAACACCTGCTACACTCTCCCCCTTCTTCGAGTTACATTAGTAAGCGGGCATTCCTCTTTCCAATCAGCGTGTACTACGAAAGCAATGCGAATTGGTGCGTGGCCGTGTGGCCTCTCTGGCCAGAGGTCTTATTTTGGAGGCATCATCAGAACTGCCAGCCTTACAGTTCATGAACAGCACAAGGAAGTTTATTATTAGTTTTTAAATTCTTCATGTGTTGCTTATCATGGGCTAAAAAGTGAGTTAATATTTTAAAATTTCCCCATAGCCTGGTAAACCCAAGTCATTAGATTTTTCCTGATCTGTGAAAACTTAACAATGAGGGAGACTTTAGATTTCACACACACACACACACACACACACACACACACACACACACTCACACACTCTTGTTTGGTAAAACTTTCACTAACAAGCTTTTTAAAAAAAGTAAAAGGACTAATGTCCTTCAAAAAAGACAGTTTTTCTATTTTATGGTTGCTTTTCTTATTTTCTCAAAGAATATGTTACAATGCTTCCTTTCCAGTAAAAAGCACTCCTTTGAGTTTGAGGTCAAAGCTTATTTGCCAAGAGGGAATATTTCTTAATTCATCAGGATTAGAGAACTCTGACAATGTGCAAAGTCAAATCCAAGTACAGCAACAGAGCCTAGGACCTTCATTCCCTAGTCTAGTAACCTTGGAAAGAGATTAGGAATGGGAGAGGACAGCATGTTAGGTGTAGTGTTGAAAATAAGAAAAGAATTTCCTTCCTGGAACTAGGTCATTTTTTAAAATCAGCAGCAAGGCCCAAGTGAAGCCTCAGAAGTCCGGTCTCTGAGTACATTAAGCAGAACATTATTAAAACACCATTTGGATACATTAGAAAATAGACTAGTAGGCCAGTAGATCTAGGCAAAATGGTATTATACTTACTTTTGACTGGTTGGTGGTGGTTTAGAACCACCAAAATGTTGCTAAGTAGAAGGCAAAGTTTTTACCATGGCTCACACTGGGTTCCATACCACCCCCTGACCTCACTTTCCACTATTTCCTCTTGATCCAGCGCCTGTGGCTTCTGTGCTATTCCTTGAGCATAACAGGCCTGCTCACCCCTGCTCCAGGGCCTTCGCACTGGCTGCTGCTCCTTAAAACCAAAACACTCCCCCACCGACCTGCGCTGCTCACCCTCTCGCTCCCTCCAGTTCTTTGCCGAGTGTCACGTTCACAGTGAGGACCCCAACCTCTATATTTAAAATTAATTAATCCCGCCACAGTTCCCTCTGTAATTTTTGAAAATAGCATTTATCAATGTATATGTATTTGTTTCCCCCATCCCCCACCCAAAAAGGAATGTAAGTTTTAAGAAGGCATGGATCTGTCTATTTTATCTATTTTTTATTTTACTGTTAGGCCCCTACCTGTTAGAAGTGCTCGTGGAACATGGGAGGTGCTCAGTAAATGCTTTTTGAATGAACTGTATGAGAAAAAGTAGATATCTTGATTCTATAATTTCTCACTTCAGTTATTGGCCTATGCATAGGATTGTTATGTTAATTAGCTTTAAGAGAGAGCATTTCGATATATTTATATAGTATAGCTATATAAGATGCATTTTCCCCCAAGATTTTGACAATTTTTGTTGACAAAAAACCCGAGGAATACACACGAGAATGGTTGGATCAGGGTGACTTCATTGTTTCGGGTGCCCTGACCAGAGATTACGCATGCGTTGTTTTAGCTTGAATGGCTGGCTAAGGCTCAAACAATTTACAATGATGGTTGATGGTCCACCTGTGCAGGAGATGGGTGGACTTAAGACGCATTTTCTGTTTAATTTCTTATTCTTTCCTGTGGCCTCGCCTGCTTACATTTAAAACAAAAATCACTGCAGTTAGTGTACCTTTGAATTAGTCACGTTTCCTTCAGAGCTGTTCTGGGAAGGAAGCAGAAGTGTATTTGGGAATGGGGGATGGATTTTAGAAAATGTTTAAGGCTCAGAGAAAAGCGCTGAGTGCTTTTTGCTAATGTAAACAGGCCAGTGTGTAAATCAGATTCACATCTACTCTCCACTGTTTATTTTGGTCAGTATTAATCTATTTGTAATATGATGGTCTCTTAAAAATTGTTGTTGTTGAGCTTTGCTATATCTAGATTGATAATCAGCAGTTCAGGCCACTTGGTGTCCCTTGCCTTTCCCATAAATCCTATTATTGTCCTTTCATCTAGCTGGTAGTTAACCCCTTAAAACTCTGGCTTCCATTCTTCAACTTTCTTGAGTGGAATATGCATTTAGCATCTCTCATTTAGAACATTTCGTTCTAAATTCACAGTTAGGAGAGTCACATGTGTGTAAATTACAATCCTTAACCATCCTAGAGTCTTACGAGAAAAAAATGCGTGTGCAAGAGAATCTGATGCACGAGAGCATTTTTGTGCATCGCTTGAATTGTGAATCAAGTGATGTTACATGAACTTGGTACACAACTGCCATGGATGTTTAAGAAGATTCATTCAACACATAATTATTATGCATGGTTGTTCCTTATGCTTGTGGATTCTTAAAAGTCTAGGAGGATAGCAGTCAATATTTAACAGTGGGATGTAAACTAATATTTAACCATGGGATGTAAAGGTCTGAAGAGATCAACTTTACCAGGAGGGTTTACAGAGGAGGGGTCAGCCTAAGAGAGGAAGCTCCAAGGAGGTGGAGGCATTTGCAATGAACTTTTGGGATGAGCTCGATTTTGACCAGTGGAGAAAAGTTGCAAAAAGAATGAACAAAGATCTGAATGTGAGAATTGCAGAGGGCAAGCAAGGGAAATACATGGCCCGTTTGGCTAAGGCATAGAGAAGAGTTGGGGTGTGAAGAGAGGTAATCTTAGGGGGAAGGCCGGCTCTAGCGCAAGGAGGGCTCCGTGTCACAAGCGGTGACGCTGTGCACGTCAGGCAGTGACGACAGCCGAGGGACTTTTCATGTCTGGCCACTTTAAGGTAGCCTGTGAGAATGTTTTGAGAAAGAGCTTTTCAAAAATTATCATGTCAGATATTAATGCTTACTGAAAAAAATGGAAAATGGAGGAAAAGTCTAAAGAAAAAAATCATCCATAATTCCACATCCCGACATGACTGTTGTTAACACTGATATTTTTTCAAAGATTTTTCTATTTATAATCCTTCTTTTTTTCTGTTTTCCTTTTATCAAAGTTAGGATCATTGTCCGTGTATACATCCTTGGTGATTTTTTTCACTAAGAAATTTTGAACACTTCCCTGTGGCAAAAGAGTTTTCGTAAAAACATAGTATCCTATCACAAAAACACAATGTCCTCTATTTAGCTGTTTTCCTGATGTTGAACAGGTAAATTGTGTCTACTTTTTTGCTATACTAAATAACTCCCTTCTTCATGGACAATAGTCCATACTTAATTGTACACTCTGCTATGCACTTCACATATTATTCCTCACTTAATCCGCACAAGGGAATAAATGACTATTCACATCCCTAGTTAATAGACGGGAGAAGCACAGAGAGGTAAAGCAACTTGCACAAGGGATTTAATAAGAAATGGCAGAGCCAACCTAATCTTTGCTTTGGGGAAACTGGGTCAAAAAAATATTGACATTAAGGAGATACATAGTTCAGGTTGGAAGTGAGGTTATAGCCTAGTCAGCAAAGTTCATGTAACATCACACTCTCTCGGTGGCTATTAAAGGCTTTAACATAAGGGCGACTGATTTGTGGGGGAGGTACCTCTGAGCATCAGCTGCTCCACTACCTCTATAGGGAGAGACTAAGATCGCCATGAAAATGGGATCTCAGTGCTGGGTTCTAGAGCTGTGCTGCTTCACATATTCAGTGGACTGCACTTTGTAACTTCGTTGCGTGTGCTCCGCTTTTCTATCTGCAGCCAGGTGCTCCCATTAAGCGGCTTCCCTGTACCAGCATCAACCCCGCCCCCACCCCGCCCTCTCCTAGGTTCATAGTTGAGCAAATGTAATGAGTATCTGAGGGTCAGTTGCTGATCCTTTGGAAGAAATAAAACTTGGAGATCTTCGGATAAATGACACTAAAGCTCTTTCTATTCCCATGTCCTTTGATTCCCAGTTTCCTTGGGTGGTTTGGTTACTCCCCCTTCATAAAACCCTCGAGGCCTCTAGGACAGAGGGGACTTCTTCCTTTTTACAAAAAATGGTTTCTCTGAGAATCCTGCCTCATACTCTGTGGTCTAAAACAGACTGGGGTGTGCCCATGTCCATAAACTTCTACCTCTCCGTACCTAGGAGAGCTTCTGGACGCAAAGGGAAGAATCCTATCTGTGAAGTGAGTCCACTGCCATATGATAACCTGGGAGGAGGGGCTGTGGGGCTGGGGGAGGCGTCTCATGCTTTCACAAGGCTCTTCGGACCCTTCCGAGCACGAGAGCCGCTGAAGAATTGGGAAGGTGTGAACTCCTCAGGGTGCGTGTTGAGACCCAGAGCAGTGGCGGGGAGAGGCCTCGAGAGCCGGCGTGTGTACACGGTGAGCCCCGCAGGCGGCCGGCCAAAGGGCCCATCCGCGGGTCAGGGGAGGCTGGGGGCAGGGGGAGAGGAACCCTGCCGCAGGCCCTGGCTTCCTTTACTATTTGGCCCAGGATAGAAACGGAGTATTTGTCTATAGCTACAGAACAAAACAAAATGGAACAGAGACTTTGATCCAATGTGAGGATTTCACAATCCTTTTTTTTTTTTTCTTGCTAATGTTTGCTTTTACATAATAACAAATCTGTTTATGTCTGTAAAGGATTAGCAGTGGACCCTGCTTCTGGAGCAAAACTCAAACAAGGATTTACTAAATCTTCTAAAAAAGATTAACTCCTAGAGGCCAGGTAAGAAAAGAAAGATTTCAACTCTGATCCAGGTGCCGCTGATCATCTAATATGCAACATACAGTTATTGAGCCTTTAAGGGAATGACCCCATAGCCAGCAAGCTGAAGGGAAACAGGGGCAAGCCCTAAGTTAGGTTAGCAAAATGTGTGCTCTTCAAACTGAGTTACTCTTGTGCTAGACCTATCGTTTGAAAATGATATTCCGTTTGATGCTTGATCTACCAGGAAGAAGGAATGGTTCTTCATTTTGGCATTGCCCCCGAAAAGATAGTTCCTAAGACTGACACAGCGTAGGGTTGGTATGAAGCTGGAGACATGTTTCATATTGTGAATCATTTGTTAAAAACAGTAAAAAATTTAAAGAGGCTTATATTATCTAACATTCTCAGTGTGGAAACAGTGAAGTTCTAGTAAATATCTTTCCTTTCTGCTTCCAGACTGCCTTCCTGATGCCCACGCGCCTGTGTGTTCCCAGGAATGCCACCCAAAAGGAAGGGACAGCGGATGTCTGCTTAAGTGCCTATGATTCCTCTCGAGACATCTCGTAGAACAAGTAAAATCTTTAGCTTCTCCAATTTTCTTATTTGCTCCCTTCAACATATTCAAAACAAAATCATTAAACACCACATTAACCTGTACAACGCTTGATTTAAAGATTCACTTGAAGCATTTTTTAAATTGCACATTTAATGGGCTTTTTAAAAAATGTTGCTTTGATAGTAGAAACTTTCAGTGAAACGGTTTTTGCAGTACTAGCATTATTTACTGACTAGGAAAATCCTCCCCCCAGCCCCAGCTTCGTTCTACAGTCATGAAATGCTGGCTTTGACATTTGCTTCTAATAAGCATTAAACTGTAATTAGTAACTCCTATTTTAAATGTCCGTCTGTATCCCGCGTAGCTTTGTCTCACATACACACGTGTGCTCAGTTGGTTTGGGGGGAGACACTGGGCAGTGGAGGGGACCAATTGCAGCAATCTTCTCACACGGTGGGCAAGATGCTCCTCGTGGCCTGAAGCCGTCACGGCCAAATCAGGGGCGAGCGTTCCTCTCATCATTGGTTTATAGAGCTCAGTGGGAAGGCGGCAGTTCAACTCCATGTTTGTTGTTGCCTTAAGGGTCAATAAACTCTTTTTGTAGAGTCATTTATACTTAGCTCATGTTTTTAATCTAATACTTTTAATTTTTAATTTATTTTAATCCTCACCCGAGGATATTTCCATTGATTTGAGGAGAGGTGGTGGGAGTAGGGGAGAGAAACATCGATCCATCGCCTCCCGCCAGTGCCCGCACCGGGATCCAACCCACAACCTTTTGGTGGATGAGATGATGCTCCACCCAACGGAGCCACCCAGCCAGGGCTACTGATTTTTATTTTTCTTAAACTCGGGGAACTTCAGTTAGGAATTAGAAGCCATTTTCCTACCTAAATTTCAGTAGGGGAACCCCAAGCTACTCCCACGTGTAGTGCAGCAAGCACACCACCGACACCACTTCAGATCTGTCTTTAAGGATCAAACACTAGGTTCTGTGCTCAGGAAAATCAGGTCTATGTCCTGGAACTGACTGAAGACTAGTAGGCCATGGGAAAGCAGTTTCGGAAGCTCTGTAAACGGGCCTCGGGAGGACCCAGCCGGGGTGAGCCGCGGCTCCTCTCCCCTTGCTCTGGGAGGCTGCCTTCCCTTGGGGAGGTGAGGGGCTGCGGGCGCTGGCTGGGACAGCGCAGAGCAGCGGGTTCCTATCGATGGGGTAACCTGTGTCCCTTATTTCCTCCCTCCCGGTTAGCGGAAGTTTAAGAACCTACCAAGTCGGTTGTACAGGGCCAGCCCCACCCCAGGCAGCTTCTCCTGCAATCGGTGCCACTGGCGAGGGCTGTGTGCCAAGGTTTCTCACATTGGGGCAAATGAACTCATGGCTTCCTTTTCCCTACCTACCCCTACCCTATTTAGAGGCAAAACAGACAAAGTAAACAGGCTTGACAGACCGGGGGTAGGGAGGAGGGTGGAGAATACTTTGTGAAGAAATCCCACAAAGGAATGAGTAAATTTCTAATTTATGCTGGAAACTAATGGTGAACACCACTGTATAACTGGCCCAGGGTAGTCTAAACCTCAGTAGCTAGCATTCTGCCCTATCCATCAGAAATAAATTCATAATATAGAAGGATTCAGAATTTTATATAGTAATGTTAAGAAATAAGCTCAGCGCTATGAATTTAACTGGAGCGTTTAAGCTTCTACCTTAATTGAAAATATTACTCAAAAAAAAAAAAAAAGTCTCAAGTGGATGCTGAATAGAGGTCAGACTAGTAGTTTCTGTGGGGGCCGTAATGGCCAGGAGGGGGCATGAGGGAGCCGGCGAGGGAGCTGGGGACGCTGTGTGTCCCGTTTGGGCGGTGAGACAGTGGGGCTGTATGAAAAACTGAACAAGCCACAGTCAGGATTTGTAGAGTTTATTATATGTACGATACATTTTCATATAGAAAGCCTCTAAACACAAAAGACAAAGGAGCTTTAACAAAAAGGTTAGGTTTCATATTTTTAAAACTCATTAGATACCAAGTTCAAGAGAGATTAACATTGCAAAATGTTATTCTTTTTGAATAAAACTAATATTGACTTAAATGAATTTTAAAATGCATTTACTGGTGATTAAAAATATACTTAAGCAGAGTAGTATTTTAAGCCAGACAGAGCAAAGAAAATTCTTGTTTAATATATATATATATATTTAAATTCCAGTAATATTTTCTTAAATTCCTGTTAAAAATATAATCAATATTAAAGTCAGCAAAATGCTTTTTTGACTGACGCATGGATTATTTTACCACTTAACCTGGTTACACAGTGATATTTTTTTTCTGTCAGATGTAACTGACACAACCAGTTTAGTCTTTAAGATAAATGAAGTGATAACTCACATTGTAGCATCTTGTGGAAAATATTCAAACTACATTTAAAATGCTTGTTTAAAATGGAGACATCTATTATTCCACAAGCAATTGTTTCTGTAAAACTACAGGTTGGCTATGGCAATAGTAACTAAACTACATCCAACCCTGAAGGTAGAAAAATCCCTGAAAAGAAATACACAGCCTAGTTATAATAAGCGATATAAAGGTTATTTTCGTATTTAACAAAGTCTCCCATTTTAGAGAAATCCAAACCTTTCCATAGTTCCCTTCCTAGGCAGTGCCACATAAAGTTATTCAGTTAACGTTATTATGATCATGGCTTACGATTAACTCAGTTTGACAAACACCTAGATATAGCAGCCCTCATTTGGACATCGGTTATGACAATAGTTGCAGTTCCATTAAAGAATACTTGCTCGTTACATTTGGTACAAAGCATGAACACTCAGGACAGATTGGCACGATACATGCAGTTCGAGAACTCTCTTATCTCAAGCCAGTCATTACTGAATAAGCCATATTCCCAGTCCTGCTGTCCAAATATTTCCTTGTAGTATAACTGACGTTTAAAATGCTCTTGAAAACATCTTCCAGAATGAGAAAAGTATGCCCCAAAAATCAGTCATCTGAATGCATGATGGAAATGGGGCAGGATGGCCGAGCTGGTGCCTGCTGGGAAAACATGGGGGATGGGCGGGAGGGGGAGCTGGCCCAGGCTCATAGTGCTCATGGCCAGTGAGGGATCTTGCTGCTGCTGCCCCAGACAGCCGAGCCTATGGGGCAGAGACTCCCCAGGCCCCAGAGTGAGGGCGCTATTCCCAAAGGCATTTTGGGTAGCAGGAGGGGGCAGCTGCCAGAAGCCCAAAAGGGGGGAAATGTCCAGAGAGGCAGGTATTGTTAGGTTCACAGCATCTGCAGGGAGCTCCTTGGGCAGGTTTACTTTACCAGCGCTGCCCTTAGCCAGGTCAAAGCCTGGGTTGAGCTTGTGAGGTGACTGAGGCTCTTGCAGAGGCAAGTCCTCCAGCAAATTGATATTGCAAAATCCTTTAGTATCTGCTTTGAGGGGCAGGTTTGCAAGTGGGGGGTATGAGGTAGAACCGGTGTACTTGTGATTCTGGAGGGACGGAGGGGGAGAGCTGGGAGGTGCTATGGGGTGCAGGGGAACCAGGGCCTCTGGCAGCGGCTGCACAGTGGGGCAGGGCTGCTCTGCGGGGTTGTGGGCATGGCCATGCACCTCAGGGGGCAAGCCACTGGCAAGCCCATTCTGTGCAGAAGCTCCTAGAGGGTAAGGAGACAGTGGGGCGGCCTTCAGCTGAAACTGGGGAGAGATGGAGTGGAAGGTGTTCAGGAAGTCTCCAGACTGCAGGCTCTCTTTCATCAGCTCCTGTGAATGTGTCTTCTTGGTGTGGCGCGTGAGGTGGTCTTTGCGCCCAAATCTCTGGGCACAAAACTGGCACAGGAAGTCCTTGCATCCTGTGTGGACCACCAGGTGGCGCCGGACGTCTTTCCGGGTGTAGAAGCATCTTTCACAGTGGTCGCACTGGTGCTTCTTCTCCTTGGTTCCAGTATGGGGCTTCTCTTCGGCATGGGCTTTGAGGTGGTCCAGCAGCACCTCGGTGCTCCCTAGCTCCAGGGCACAGACCCCACAGGTGAGGTCGCCGCTGCTGGCCGCGTGAAGGGCCAGGTGCCTCTTGTAGCCCAGCATGGTGTTGTATTTCTTTCCACACTCCTCACACCCAAAGGCCATTTTGTTGGGGTCATGGGTTTGGAGGTGGTTTTTCAGGTGGTCTTTCCGGTTGAATGTCTTCTCACAGTGAGCGCACTGGTGAGACTTCTGGGGCGAGTGGGTAGCCATGTGCCTAGGAGCAGAAGGGAAAATTTCACAACGGACTCAGTTTTTTAAGAGCCCATGAAGGTAGAGAAATGATATGAAGATGTTAATAGTAGTTTTCTCTAGGTGGTGGTGTAAGAAGCTGTTTTCAGTTTTAAAATACTTTTTTAAAAAGTATTTTAAAATACTTTTATGTATGTGTTTCTTCCCGATTCTACACATACATAAAACTTCATGATAAAAAAAAAACACACACACACACAACAGGTGCTACTGAAGACATAATGCAATTTTCATACCTGTGAGAAATATGGTTTGAGTACATATTTTTCTAATGTATACAAAGAGACTGCTAAATGTATACAAGTATTTAAAAAATATATGATCATAACAATGTTTTTCAGGAACAGATTAAATGGGTATACTCTGAAAATTCCTGAATTTCCAAAAGTGACTCAATCTGCCTTGTACATGGTACCCCATAACCCTCCAGTTTTAGGTTATTGTTTCTAATACAATTCCTGCTTGGTTTTTATTGACTGAGACAAAAAGTCTAGGCCATACACGTAAGTCGATCCTTAATGTCAGGGAGAGCGTCTGATTGGACCCCGACAATGCCAACCCTACCACCTGTGCTCTGGACCTTGTGCCTCCCACGAGATCGTCACACTTACCTCTTGGCTTGCTCTGTTTAATGCTTTCCTATCAGCTCTCACCCCAGACATGTGCGGCCCCTAGCTCCATTCCCCCAAGATCCCTGTTAGAGCCCTCTTCCTGAAGGTCACTGGTAATTTCACTGGCAGAATTCAAAAGGACTTTTTCTAGAAGGACCATGCTGCTACTCCTAGCAGAAGTTATATGTTTCTTTAACTGATCTTCAGGGACAAGCCGTAGCCACCCTAGTCAATCTGGAATTTCAAAAGAGCTATTTTATATTTATATCTGTAAAGCACAAATTGGTTTTGGAAAACCACCACAATTCCATTTCTCTCATAATTCCACTGAATTCCTAAAATTTAAATTCTTGGTTTTTAGAAGCTCCATGATATAAAGAAGTCCTGAGTTTGTCTCTAAAACTTAAAAAGGGGTCATTTTAATAACTGTGTCATACAAAACACCAAGTCCTATATGTTAGTATTTCTTACAAAATAGCACCCTTAAACAACTTGTGGCTTGCAAATACAACATAGGTTGCTTCATGTCCCTTTTGACAGTTAACTCTTTTAGGTGTTTTTTCTTGAGGAGGTAAAGCTTGTCCTACTGACAATTTCAAGGCAATTGAGCTTGTTGACTTTGTATAAAAGAATTTCTAACAACTTATTCTATGCAAAAAGATAGAATTCCTTTAAAATACGGTATGCTTCAGTCCAAAGGGTACCCAGCCTTCTACCCTGTGTTGTCCATTCGGGATCCTTTTCTAGATGGATAATTAGCCTGGAGCCAAGAGCAGCAGCCCTTTGCACCACAGTGGTGGTCCCTGCTAAGAGGATGACTGGAAGCCAATTCCAAAAAGCAGATCTGGGTCTGTCATTTTCTTGAATATAAAAAGGCAAAACCTTACATCTTCTTCCTCTCTCCCTTTAAAAAAAAAAAAAGGTCGCCTGCTCTGTGCAGGGGATAGACACAAAAGTAAGTTCCACCTTCCCTCCAGGACACCAGAGCTCAGCAAGCAAAGGGATGCAGGTGAGAAAGACAGGCATAAACAATGCTGAGGAACAGGAGTCAGTGCAGCGGGAACTTGAGACTGAAATGATGCCGATGTCTACACGGTCCAGGTGTACTTAAAAACATTCGCAGGTCGCAGAAGGGTTTTGGGGTTTGTTACCTCTAACAAACAACCACGTTCTTATTTAAGATGTCCATAGATACGTATCATCAGGAAGATATGTGACCGGGGGACTGGTTTACAAACTTGGCATTGAAATCATTTTCTATTTGGTCCAATACTAGTGACTAGGACCCCAAAGCTCTGTCTGGATCTTCTATTCCTGCCTCTGTCTGCTTTTTCTTTTGTGGAGGATTTTTCCTCTGATTAGATTTCCTTTACGGCCCAGGGGCAGATCAGGGCCGAGGGAGCTGCTCTGGACTGGGGTCCCCCCACCTCTTTCCGGCCTAGGGCTGTACCACCCAGGAGAAAGGCCCAGGTTGACAACTATTAGCCCCTGAGCAATAACACTGCTTCTCACAGTCATCAGCTCCCATCCTCTGAATTTTTTTTACTCTTTCCTCTGCCTGGCATCTTATTATCCCATTTTAGTTTATCCCTAACTTACGCGCACAACAGTTCCAACCCAGGACGTAATCATCTTTGAGCCAAAGTTACTTCAACAACTTGTTTCGCTCCTTCCACCTCTTCTCACCTCCCAACCCATGAAACCACACTGTGACTGCCCTACAGTCAGAATCAAATACCACCATTTGGGGGTGTCACCTGGACCACGTCAACTATCTTAGACTTCTTCCCAATTAGAATTCTATCAGACTTTGAGCCAGGGCTTCCATCTGCCCAGTCTCGTATTTGCTGTCTGCATCTAACTGCTGCACAGGGACCCGTGTTTTCTTTTCTATAGCAAGTCAGTTATTTACTCCCTCAACCTCTGCTTATAAAATGGAGTGTATGTTGCAACTGAGAGAAACGGGATGGAATGCTGCCCTAAAAAAAAACCCAACAAAAAACCAACCCCCAAAAACAACGCGAAAACAAACTCGAATGCATCCTGCCGTCCCACCACTTTCCTAGCCCTTCCTTAGATCGCTGCTTCAGGCCAGAGAGGCAAGACGTGTGGGCGGCTGTGGCGGGTCAGGCGGTTCTTGCACAAAGGACAGTGCTTCCCTTTTTTTACCTCGCTTTAAGCTCTTAACTGAACAAGTTGTTTCCCTCGTTCAGAACTACTACCTCCTAAATGTCACTTAAGACATCTTCAGTGCGGCTCACCACAGCAATGCCACCCAATTCCTGTCATTCCAAGCATCTGTTAGCTCCACTGTCTTTTCCAAATGTTTATCTCCTATACGCGTTTTGGTCTTTACCCAGAGTTACTATACCCTCGTTGTGGCTTAACTGAGCAAGCACTGCTTTCCGTGTCTGAGTGAGGATCATTACTGTGTTACACACGAGAAGCCTGTTACAAAAGAGGAAGCCTTTGCAACAAAATCGGTGCACACAGTAGGCACTCAATACTTACATGTATGGCAACTAGAGTGGCCCATGTAGAGAATGCATGACTTTCTATAAACCTACGCATTCATAATCTCATATTAAAAATCAGCTTATTACAGTACATTGTTGATAACAAGAATGTTCTTAAGATCCAGGAACATAACTAATGTCTTGTTTTAACTCTTCCAAGGGCCTTGCTCCAGATGCACAACATTTAATAATAATGCGGCCCGTGTTTATACCACTCAGATGTAAATCCTCTCTTGCTGAATTTTGCCAATCACCTATGTATTGAAATATGAGTAGTCTGAAAGTTGAAGCTTTAAAGTTCATTTCATGAGGATTAAAGACAAATGATCCAGGTGCCTTAACCAGGTGTCAAAAGTGCACACCTGGGAGTTCTGCGTGTGTCGCTCTGAGGAATCACGTGCAGAGCACACACAGTATTCGCTGTTACTCGGATACTGTGCAACTCAAATCTATTTTGTGCATATTTTGTCTTTTCTTTGGAGGCAGAAGCTACATCTCACATACCCCCACTTCCCCATGGAAGCCCCTAATAGGCAGCCAAGAAATAATTAAGACTGAACGTACTACATTTTTTTGAAACGCAGCTGCTCAAACGGTGCTTTTTATCCTTTGCTGTAGCGTGGATGCCTTTGAAAATCTGACTAAGTGCACAGACTCAGCATCTGTGCACCCCACCCCCCCGATTCCCACGTGAGGTGGCTCTTAGACCCAACTTGAGAAACTGCTCCAAAGCCTTCCACTTGGAGGTGTTCCCTCCTCGCCATCCGCACTGCCAGGACCTGGACAAGCTCACCACATCTCATCCCTGGACTATGACAACAGATTTCCAACCAGTCTGCTTGCCTCTTCTCTGTTCTCCAAACGACCACCACATCCTAATCATTCTAACATCCTAATCAAGTCATGCCCTTCACTCCTCAGACTCATCAGAGTAAAACAAACCCTTGACAACAGCGGAGAGGGCCTGCTGGGAGCCGCCTGCTTCTTGCCTACACCTGAGCCTCACCCTGCTCCCCCTCCGACGCTGCCCTCTGTACATGTGCGCTCAAGGCCAAGGCTCGCGGCTTCCCAGAGCCTCCCGCTGCCCGCCCCCAGTCATTCTTCACGTCACGGCTTAAGGCTGTGCCTTTCTGAGAAGGCTTCCCGGACCTCACCAAGCAGGGGGACTACGCTCTCCCCTACACAGCTCCGTCAAAGCACTCAGACTGCATTTTAATGCCAAGGAATCTGCTGGCGTGACTATCCCCCTGCCACGGGTCTTTCCTTTTTCTGTCCTTAGACCTGGCATATTGTAGGAGCACAAGACATCTCTGTTGAAAGAATGAATGGATACAGCCCAGCAAAACTGTCACGTGAACCTACAGTCACCACGGGAGATACAGCTTTAAAGGCTAAAGTGCACCACGTTCTGTGTCCTTTCTCCTTGCAGTGTTTTGTCTGAGGGCGAGCAAAGCCATTTAGAGGCATATGTAAAAGCACATACCTTTTCTAAAGCCTCTCACCTCATTAATTTATATCTGGAAATGAAAGCTTTGCCACACTCTGGCTGCAAGCACTTGTAAGGTCGCTCCCTGGAGTGAGAATAATTGTGGATAGTGAACTTCTCCAGGGTGAGGAACGTCTTGCCACATAATTGGCAGGGAAAGGTGGCCATGGGTTTTGCTTCTCGCACCTTCCTTTTCAGAGGCGCTGACCAAATGCTGTGCCATTTAAGCACACATAGAAAGATGGTGCTGAGCACATGCGCCGAACCCCCACAGCTGAACTCCAGCCCAGGGGAAGGGCAGCGTCCTGGGCCTGGTTCTACCCAGACATGGGCCTCTCGGGGACCACTAGCTCTGCTTCCTGCTGTCCCACATCCTAGTGTATGTGCAGTCTCAAGCTGGGAGGAGAAAGTCTGAGGCACAGATGAGATTCCAGGAGTAGAAAGGTAATCTGCATCACTAGAGCCAGGGCTAGTCCTGGAACACCAGACTGTCTGTGGAGAGAAGAGAAACCGTTTTCTTGCATTAGCTATTTGAAAACAATGCTTTTCCTCCCCCACCAGTTCAGAATCAGCTACCCAGAATCAACGTGTTCCTTTAAGTGGCTCTAATGCAGCACAGTTCTCTATCCTCCCCGTGTGCTTTAAGAGGTCCTTCTGCACAGAAATCCACCTGTCCGCTTTTCCTGAGTGGCGAGGAGTCAAGTACGCAGTGTTTCGATGGTAGATGAAGCGCACCTTCCTTTGTGACGGAGATGGCTATTTCCATAGATTCAGTATAATCTACTTCAACCCACAGTCTCAGGTCAGTGCGAGGTTCAGCTGACCAATTTAAAAAATTGATGTTCAAGTGTTTTCCTGGTACAGAAACAAAAATCGTTCCTGCTTATTCAAACCATGGGCTATTCCTCTTGACTCACTGTCAGCATAACATGTTGCCTATCACACCTGTTTAAACTTCTAGGGGATGAGATGAAATAATTTGTATACATCTAAGTTCATTTGCTTATAAGGTTACCGTGCAGAAGAACTCAACTCAGTGATGTAAACAAAATGATGTGAATAAAGCTGGTTTAATTCGCTGACGCGCCTCTGGAGGGGAAACAAAGTACTCCGAGGGAAACAGACCTGATGGCGTGAGGGAGGGCTCAGGCTGCATTTAAACATGTAGGCACCGTCCTCCAGTAAACTGTTTTTACTAATCTCTTCCCCTGTTGTTTTGGGGGCATTTCCTCAGTCTCCAGCCCCGCCCTAGAGGACTGAGACACCTGCTGGAAGGCCATTTCTAGGAGGTGGGCGTGCTGACTCTTCAACCACAACTGCCTCAAACCCAAATTATTATCACCCTTCCAACCCAATCGAAGTCACCAAAAACAAGGCCCTTCTTTTTCTACCAACTGACCATCATTTGAGGAGCTTTCAGAATTAGAGGCAGCATCATGAACAACAGAGTACAACTCTGGCTAGCAACAGTCCTGTGCTATTCTAGAGAGAGTAATTCTCAGGTAGGTGGATGCTAACTTTTCAAGTGCCAGTTAGAGTACTATACGCTTACATTAAACAACCTGGAGTAGCTTTGTACACAGGCCAGCCCTTTCTGTACTTTGTCAAGTAAGCAGTGCACTCGCGGCCAACTGACCAATCACAGCAGGTCTTCAAATAGTCTGCTCCCTGCAGTCATTCATTTACTGCCAAGTCTTTAGAGTTGCTTGGTATTGTGAAAGGTTCAACTTTACTTACCTTTTCAGCTACTTTCAAAATAGAAAGCTGGAGTCTAGCTAAATGAAGTTTTATTATAATAAATCAAGCATCTTTAATTATACCAGCCCATGGCACAAGTACACAGGCAAACATGTGTTCCTTTCTAGGGAGCAAAAACTGCAGCAAACTTCTGTGCTCCTCATCAACTCACTCAGACACTCGGTGTCTGGTCAGAGTTCACAGGAGCCGGCACCAGGCAGACTCCCCGCCCTGTCCTGCCCCACCTGCTCAGAACCTTCAGGGCTGACGTGCACACTCTGGCCTGAAGCTTCGGCACTGATCCAACGCCAGGGACGCGAGTTCTCAGCCAGCATCTTGGCACCAAACCTTCACTCTGAGGGCAGTTCACACATACCTTGCTCCTCTGAGACTAAGAGTGATGACTTGAACTGGACCCCTGCCTTCACTGTCCAAACCCCTCTCCCCACCTCACAGTAGCCCAGTTCCTGCCTGAGGCCCTGCTCCGCAGCGTCCCCGACAACCCTGGCCACAGTATAATTCCTTCCAGGAATCTCCCCTGTGTGGCCGAGTTTCTGCTGCCAGGTCTCATGACATGACCTACTCCTCCAGCCCAAGTCTGGCTAAGACTGGCCCGGCTATAAAAGGTGTGGAGTTGGTCATCACCCTTAAATATGCTCATCTCATTCACTCGAAATTACTCGGTGTTCTTCCCAGGTCAGTCAGACAAGATTAAAATGTATACACAATATGTAAGTATGAAATTCATCTTTTCCTTGTTGTCTCCATAGCTGAACCCAAAGTGCAACTAATCACTCAGAAGAGTGAGTGACTTTTCTGCGATGATGAAAATGTCATATACATAAGAACTACAGAACGCTCAAAATGTGACACTGAGAAACGGGAACTTTGAGTTTAAGTAGCCATACGTGGCTAACGGCTGACAGACTGCACAGGCAGGCTCCCAGTGTCACTGTCAGAAGAGACGAAGGTAAGGCTACCCTCACCTGCAGACACACTGTGTGCTGGTTCACCCTCAGGGGTTCCCCTGAAGCCAGGGAGGAATCTATGTAGATCCAGCCACTTGTTCTACGAGTACAGCGGAAAGACTCCCCAGTCCAAACTCTAGCTTACCCACTGGTTAGCTGTATGAATGGGCTGTTGGGGACAACTAGGTAAACCAAGGTGGATCTGCAAGCATGCTGTAATCTAGAAAACACACTGTACAAATACATGGGATTTATGAAACACTGGCATTAAAAGTAGAAACCATCAGCTGGCACATGGTTCTCACCACTCAGCTATGAATACAACAGAAAAGACATGTTCTCTCCCTACGTATAATTCACCATTTATTAGCCAGTCGGTAGTCTGGACAATGCACATGCTTATGCACGCAGGAAAGACACGTGAGGGTGCAAGTAAAAATTAGCCTGTATTCCTTTGTTTCTCAAAAGAGCTCAACTTTGACTGGCTGCTTACCAATACACCAAGAATCTAAAAGAAAAATAAGATCTATTCAATTTTTTTTAAAAAAGTGCCTGCCCTTTAGCATTAATAAAGTTTTCCCAGATCCAAACTCCATCCACTTCCCTAGATTCAGAAGTCGAACAAGCACAGCCATCATTACCTACATTTCTCATTGGCCTTCAGAGACGGGAGGTTCAGAGATGGCCACGTTTTATTTAAATGTGAGGCACACTTCCTCCCACTCTTTCTCCCAAAGAATAATAAAAAGGTAAGTCAGTTAAACATTTCAATACTTATTTAACTTATTTCATAAATGTCTTTTACCAAGACTTTATCTTTCTGAGTTTTAGATCTGTGTGTTAAATATACCTAGCCCAACACTAAGTGCAAAGTTGGTCTTCAGATGTTGGCCTGAATTAATTTTAAGATAGTGAACATTCTTTAAATTCCTCAGGAAGTCTTTTTTAATGATGAATTCAAATTCACAAATAGTTATTCCCTTCACCGTAACTCTGAATTTCATTACTATGGACCTTCAAATATAAATATTTGCATGGTTTTCATGATACAATCACAAACTTCTATAAAAATAATCTTTCCCAACAGACTATAAATTCACTGTGGCCGAGGATCAAAGCTCAGCTATTTTTTAAAAATAAACCGTGAGGATAATACAACATCTCCCATCACCACGTACTTGACCAGTGCTGGCTGGCTGTTGCTGATTCCAATCTTTGGTTGAAACCTGATGCGCTTTGTGGCCACATCCTTAAAACAGACTCATGATTAACTTTCTATTATCTGGCAAACCACCAACAATCCCAACTGAGGACTGACAAAAGGATGATCCTGATGATAATCAGTCTTTTCTGTGACTTGACACACAGATTGCATTCGAGTCTTAAATACGGTAATATTTCAACACCTGTCACCCTAGGAAGATAGTAAGTCTTCCCCCAAAACATCTCAGGACATAATTTTCAATCCCCTTGATTCTAAAAATACTGAGTGAGCGCTACCGATCTGCCGGTATGCCAAAGAAGGCTTGTGCCATCTGCTTCATTCTGTTCATGCTGATTATTTTAGGGATGAGAGAGGATCAGATGGGAATAAGAACATATATATATGGCAACAGCCAGGAAGGACTGTGTTCCCTGAGGGCTGATGGTATACGATGGTAGAGGGAGAGGTCAGAGCACAACTGGAGTTCCAGGGCGTCCCCAGTGCTGCGTAACACAATCATCTAAGGGGGGACAAATGTTTTACAATAATCTCAAAATAAACTATGACTTCTGGCTTCTATTTCCATTGTCCCCAGTGACACAATGCAAGCCCATTTCTGAGAGGAAATTGAATTGCCATTTTTAGTCTTCCAACTTGGACATTCTTAAGTTCTTTTTTCTTTTTCTGTCTGTCTTTCTTTCTTTCCTTTTTTTTTTTTTTTTTTTTTTTTACCCCATTCATCACCATTCCTTGCAGATAAGAGAGTTCTATTCCAAACATGTCTCTCTTTCATACTCCCAAAACCTGGGATTGTTTTTATATAAATGTGTTAAGGCCAATTTAAAAAGGGCCTCTAGTAAGCTTCTGTTTCTCCTTATACTCACAAAAATAAGAAACTTTGAGTTAGATGAAAAAAGAGACTGTCCCTCTTGGTGCTATCAAGTCAGTCTGACTCTTCACAAAGTCACTGATACTATTTCCTAATCCATGGGACACATATTTTGTGCCTCGATCACTGCATTTGATCAGATTTTTTAAAAAATGTTCTATAATAATGTTCTTCTGAAATTCAAGCAGTAAACCACTTGCACAAATGTCATTTCATATATGAGTAGAGATGATAATTTAACAGATCCTATCATGTAACACAGGCCTACCTTTTGACTAGAGGGCAGGCTTCCCTGAAATCATAGGGGTTCATTTGTCAACATCTTTCAATAAAGAACTAAACGTAACCATTAAAATCGACTAATGCCTGAGCTGACACATCATCTGGAAGAAGGGCCTTGCCTGGGTGAACTCTAAAGCTGGACCCAGAGGCCCCTCGCCCCGCTGTGTGCAGACCTCTCCCCCACAGGGGCCCGCAGGCAATCAAGGCCGCAGATCAACCCAGCCGCAATTTTCTTAATGCGTCCCATTCTCTCAACTTCAGCGTTCACGTCCTGCCCCATCCTGGAATGTCCTGCCACTCTTTAACTCCCCGGCAAGCCCCTACTTTTCCCAGTTACTCCCAGGCAAGAGCACAATGAGCTGCTTTCCATGGGGTGAGGGAGTGAAGCCTGGAGACCCCTGAGGAAGTGACTGTAACAGTCCAGGTGAGACCCCAGTGGCCGGGATGGAGATGAAAGGGGATCACTGCGAACCGTGGCTGATCTAGAAAGAGAAAAATGTGTGTGGTGTCTCCACAAGAGGTGGTTCTGTGTGCCTTCCTGGACTATTTATTCAACAGCCTGGTTGACACTACTATCCCATCCTATGGTCGAAATAACTTGCCCTTATTTGTGCTCTTCGGTGGGAAATACCGACTGCGCCTGCCCCTCTATTTTGCTCTGGGGAACCTGCCCCACACCTTGTGACCTGTGTTCCCCCCAAAGCCCGCCGAACAGTCTTGTTTGTTGCTTACTGACTCTTTTAACTGTGACCTTGAAAGACTTAAATTTTGTTAACTAACCCAGTGACTACAGTCTTATTTTCTTAGAAACTAAGGCCTGAAATAAGAAAGCCAAAGGGAATTATTGATCTAATATTCAGAGAGAAAATTAATCAGGAAGCTGTCTCATTGATTACACT